AAGATGAGTCTGCCCTAACTACTTTGATATACAAGATGTAAATGTTTAATTACACCTATTATGAACAATTCTGTTGTAATCATCTCTGAAGTCATCTTTCAACTTGACGACTCTGTAAATGATAAAACAGGGAGAAAAAAACAGCCCTTGCTGAGTTTCTTGCCGGTTCTTCTCAGTACAAGGTCTCCCGCCGTAGATTTACGAACCGATGGCGTAGCTTCTAGACATTCATATGTGCTTGTAACAGCCTAAACTGAATAAATGATTTTGATTGATTATTATGATTATTGACGTAGGTATATGCAATTTGCTTTTTAGTGACACAATGTCAATGTCAAAAACAGCAGATGGGCCATGATTATTTGCCACCCATCATAGAAAAAAAAACATACCTTCAGAATCTGTTGGACCTGATACAGTTGTGACTGTAGAGTCTGTTACTTCTACCGGTAAATTCTTTGGTCTTCCTCTCTTCTTTGCTATTTTAGGAGGGTTCGCCTTCACCGCAGGTGCCGTTGTGATTTCGTTCAACACTGTCGGAAGATTCTGTAACTGCGCTCTCGCCACTGGGATGATAATTTAAAAAACGTTAAATACAACACAGATCATAGTGTACCTAAATGTTTATTTAAATCGAGTATTTTATTTTATGGATTTACATGATTTATTTTATTAAAGTTGTAGTTCCGCATTCAAATTTAACTAGATTAAATTCCACTCCGTCCAGGCATCAGACAGACGCGCGCGAATGCACTAAACAATTGTGCTACTGAGACCTTAACGGCCGTGTCGTATTTCTTACAGTTTTTCTTAGAAGTTTAGTTAGGGCCGGATTTAAGGCAGAGCATGCGGGTCTTCTGCCCAGGGTATGTATTTAAATTAATGAGCGACCGAAAATAAGCAAGAAACCTTGAGCAACACAATTTATTATAAGTATGGTCTGCGAGTGAAAACTTTGATTTAATACAATTGTGAACATGACTGACTGTAAATAATAAGTAGAATATTCATTAAATTGATTTTTAATTATTATGTAAAGGCTAATTAGGTTTATTGCAGATGACAACATCTGTGGTATGGATTATGTATTAGAGATTCACAGATTTGAATTTATATAAAAAGACTAGCTGACCCAGCGAACTTCGTACCGCCCTAAAAAAATAGGGGTTGTCCAGCGGACAAAATTGTGAATCTAAACCATTCTCAGATCCCCTTGAACACACACAAAAAATTTCATCAAAATCGGTCCAGTCGTTTAAGAGAAGTTCAGTGACATACACACTCACAGAAGAATTATATATATAAAGATATTTTTAGTTCATAAATCAATTGAATTTTTATTTAATCATTTTAATTTTAAGAATAAAACTAAAACAGTATTTAGTAGTATAGTCTTATTTGTTATCATTGCCACCCTGGCTCTGTCCACTTTCTTCAGATGTCATTACTTGTTGATATGAATCCGCATCCGTAAAAGCTCCGAATCGATTGATGCTGCTGCTAATCAAGATGTCTTATTTAAAGTGAATATTCCGCATTTGCGGATGCAGATGTGAGAAAACGGTTCATCGCAATTTTTGGGATAACTAGACTTTTATCATAAAAAAGAATCAATGGCAAACTTAAATACAACATAATATAAATAATTGACATTTTGCCATTGTAGTTATTTCAGTTTTAACAGTTTAGGTGTTTTATGTCACCTGGGATCTTGAAAGGATTCTAACAATCAAACACACATCTAAATCAGCTCAGACTTTTAGAAGTTATGGTGAAACAAAAAATTGTACATACACACATGAACCCTGAAAACAATACACTTTTTTTTTGGCCAATCCTGTAAAAAAGATAGAATTTTGGCAAGTAGGCAATCACCCATAATTATAGTGATAACATAACCATCACATTCGCAGCAATTCGCATAAAGAAGCACAAATTTTTAAAAGACTAGACTAAAATAGATATAAAAAACTTTTTTAGTTGTCAATTTTAAATAATAATATAACAATAACTCTTTATTACCAAAAGATACACAACATGTATTGTATGATTTTAAAAATAGTCCCCAAACTAGGTAATCCTGTATCTCAGGGACTATTGTTATTAGGGAATATTGTTGTTCTGAATTATCATAAAGTAAATTAAAGACAAAAAAAGCAAAGAAAAGCAGTTGACAAATTAAAAGAGAAATGATGCATTTGGTGAATGTAAAAATATATGTGTAGTGTGTGTGGTGAGTGTATGTGTATGTGTGGGTGTTGGTTGCTGTATTTGTGTTTTTGTACTATTATTTATCTATTATTGTTTACCATTATTATTTCAGTTCCAATGTAACTAAGATTTAGGAGCAAGCACTTTTCATTTCACTATGTTTGGATGGTGTCTTAATATCGCATTTGGCAACAATTTTATTATAAACAAATGGAAATAAGTAGGGTTTGTGTATTTTTGCAAAAACAGTTAGAGCTATTGGAGTATTAATTTTGAATGTACATTTTGTAAGTGATTCAAACAGGTTACGGACTTGCCAGTTGCCAGTGATTCATCTGAGCATTATATTAGCTAGCTATTTACCAATTATCAATTATATTGATTAATGTCATACATAGACTTAAGTCACAAACTCTGAATTTGAGTAGGTTTCAACTTTGATTATATGGTTGCAGACATCATAAAGAATGTGACTATACCATAAACAATTTAAATCATCAATAACAGGCAATTTCTCAAAATTATGGTTGTCTGTATAACAAAGTCATAAAGCAAAACCATTGTAGTTTAAAGTTAATGGTATTTAATATAAATTTATTAATTTTCTATTTATTTCTAATTACCCCGGTATAATACCATTTACAGCAATTAGTAAAAGAAAAAAATGAAGAATTAATAAATATTCAAATTGGGAGATCTCTATAGAAATCTTTATTCACTATGTTATTTTAAAATAAACCTAAAATTTAAATTCCTTAAAGAAAAACAGGAAGCCACAATCAAATCTAGGTAAGGTTGGAAATGTATCATGTTTATTTATAAAATTAATTATGCATAAACAGATCAGGAGTACCTCTATCCTGGATTTAAAGTGCATAGTAAATATAGAATGTGCAATTTACTGCTCTGCCCCTCTGCCTCTTTTAGAAACATTTGTGTTTATTAATAAAATAAAATTTAGACATTATTGGTGTTGATTCTGGCAGGATTCTCTAAACTTAAAACTAAATTTAACATCAGTCTGTCCTTGTCATTCTGTATAGAGAATGACAAAGATACATTGTTGTCGAATTTAAGTTTAGCTTTAGAGAATCATGCCAGAATCAACAGAATTGACCACATAACTGTATTTTAATTCCACATGACCTTTATTAATCAATAAAATAGGTATCAAATGTAAAACCTACATCGAGTCATTTACATTTATATGTAAATACACCTCCTGATAGCAATGCCTTTTACCAGCCAAAGGTTTCATCAATCAATCATCAAAGCTTAAAAGTCGTCGTTGATGCTGGTATTTCATTTTCCTATTCGTATTTGTGTTTTCTCAACTTGACAACTGCCTATCTTTATCAAGCTATAAAAGGACTGAGAAGTTTACAAAAGCAAACCCAAATAGCCAAACGAAGAGCAGCATAAGGTTGGAATTTGTTACTAAGGTTTTCATGCACACCACTTATAAAATAAAACCACTTTTTTTAAATAATTATTCGAAAGTATGATAACAATTATACTTTCAGATAATGCATCCTGAAAAGGATGCAAAACATCAAGATATGTAAAAAAGCATTAAAAACTCATTGTTAAAGTGTGGTAATTTCTCATTGATATCAGCCAACTAATGTCCAAATGTGGCTCTCTTGATGTATGGTCATAAGAGTACTAAAATATTTACACCAGTCATATATACATATGTCATGTTCTCAATATCCATGACTGCAAGTCACTTCTACTAGCATGTGTTGCCCACCATTCAAGAGTTGTAGCAAGACATGTAATACATTTTAAACATAAAATGATAAAAACAAATTTCGTAAAACAACATATACATACCTTCATTCGCCAGCTCCAACTTTGACACTGCATCTAATTTCCTTTTCAACTTAAACTTTGGTGCTACATCAGATTTCTTTTTGGTATATTTTGTTACCTTCTCCTTTTTTTTCGCGTTATTTTTTGAAGGCATGTTTTTGACATTTCCATTTAGTGCTGGGGATTTGAAATCATCATCAAATTGATATTATATAACATTTGGAACAGGCTACTCTAGTTAAATATCCAGTCAAAAGCTAAAATTCTGCTCATCAGCAAAAACGTGAGTGTACGAAAAGTTTTGTGTAAGCTTTATTACGTGTTGCAACTGTTACAACTTACTCAAACTTGCGGTAGGTATTTTCAACTTTAGCACTGTTGGGGTTTTCTGTTTTGTTTTCTCCTTCTTCACCTTTTGTTTTGGAGTCTTTTTCTCTGGAGTTTTTTTCTCCAAGGTCGGAGTTTTACCAACGTTTTTCTTTGGTGCCATTATTTCTTCATTTAGTCTTGGATAAGATTCAAATGTACAGATATCGGAGTTACTTAGACCGATAAAACTATAGCATACATTTCTGATTCAGCCGCACTCATTAGTTAAATTAAAAGCATTTGTGAACATGTTTTTAGAAAGGTGAAAAATTAATTGGCATTAAACCAGTCGCAGTTTGGATAGAAATTAAAAATATTTCGTTGTAGTGATGCGAAATATAGAAATAGACATTCGATTAAACGATCTGAATGATCCAGCATTATCGATTCAAATGACAAATAGCGTGTTTGCCATTATATTATAGCCATATGAAGTGCCGGCATAATGTTTATCTATACTTACCTTTATTTATTAAAATGGGTAAAGGTCAAATGGGTCACTTCTGTCAAAAAGCGGCAAGCCCGGACAGAAGGAAGGTCAAATCACGAAGTTGGAATTTGTGAATGTAATTTTACATACCGGTCCATAAAAAAAGTATTAAAACATGGGCGGAAAATATAAAATTGTCATGATTCGCCATGGCGAAAGCGAATGGAATCAAAAGAATCTGTTTTGTGGCTGGTATGATGCTGACCTCAGCGAGAAGGGTGCGTACCAATGATGTCGTAAACTTTTATTTTAGTTTTAGTGGATACCATTCTTATTTTTTTTACGTAAATATGTTATTCAGGTCGCGATGAAGCTAAGGCAGCTGGCAAAGCATTGAAGGCTGAAGGGTATCAGTTTGATGTAGCTCATACATCGGTTTTGAAACGCGCCCAGATCACACTGAATTCCATCCTGCAGGAGATCGGGCAGACTGATTTGCCTGTAAATAAGACTTGGCGTTTAAATGAAAGGCACTACGGGGGTCTTACTGGCCTAAACAAAGCCGAAACTGCTGCAAAATATGGAGAAGCCCAGGTAATTTATTAAAAAATAATTTTTTTATATTTTTATAATTATGCATTATTAAAGATTCTTTATTTTTTTAATTTTTCTACAAAGTTTTTTCTCTTGGCTACTTCCTAGGTTCAAATTTGGCGCCGAAGCTTTGATACCCCTCCTCCACCCATGGAGAAAGACCACCCATACTATGATACCATCGTTAATGATCCCCGCTACGCTGGTGACCCAAAACCCGGGGAGTTCCCAATGTACGAAAGCTTGAAACTGACCATTGAAAGAACACTGCCATACTGGAACAATGTTATTGTGCCACAAGTAAGTTGAAATGTATTCTAAACTTTGAAAAGTACTGGGAATACTGTATACTGCATGAATTGAGCTATGCTTATTGAGTGTAGGGACATGATAAACTTTGCCTGCTGCTTACATTTTTTCTTACAGTCTTTCTGCCTAGTAATTATTGGCAGAGTAATATTTGTTGAAAACACTTCTGCTATTCAAGAATTCATTTTATTTCAAAAGTGTAATTTAATGTACTCCACATACAGATTCCATAAAAATAAGTGAAATCTTTATATGAAGAAACTTTTTGTGACATAAATAATTTAGCAAGTTACTCAAAGACATTTAAAGAAGTTCAACTAAAATGATAAATAATTATAACAAGTCATTTTTTAACTAAGGACACAAATTCTTCATTTCAGATCAAAGAAGGCAAAAGAATTATAATTGCAGCACACGGCAACAGCTTGCGTGGCATAGTGAAGCATTTAGATGGTAAGAATTATAGGGACTTCAAATTTAATGCAATATCTGGAAATAGTTGACTTATCTATTTTACACTTTGACATGAGCTCGACATAGTAAATTTTTGGTAACCCATCCAATGACCGACCACTGCGAACGTTGCTTTACTTTAACGATCACAGCCGAACGCGCTAACCGCTTGCGCCATCGAGCTCCTCAATATATAGGAATCATAATCCTCATTAATATAGGAATGAACTTGAATATGTATCAAATTATGTATTACAGTATGCCCTAAATTTGACAGAGTCCTACTACTACTTGATAGAGAGATTGAGGGAAAAGGTTAAAAGAAAATAGCAATAAATAATATTAAATATAATTCTTTTCTGATAGGACTCAGCGATGCTGCTATAATGGAGCTGAACCTTCCCACTGGAATACCGTTTGTTTATGAGCTTGATGAGAACATGAAGCCGGTAGACTCTATGGTCTTCCTCGGTGACGAAGAGACCGTCAGGAAGGCTATGGCTGCTGTGGCCGCTCAAGGAAAGGCCAAGTGAACATATTGCTATCTGCATAATATCAAAATTCTATAATACTGTTGACACAATACTAAGAAGTTTGTGAAAGATATAGAGGTAATTTATTGTGAAATTATATGAAACACCCATTATTTATTTAATAATTTTGAATATCTGATATTTAATAAGTTTAAAAGTAAACAACTACATTAAAAGAATAACAAGTTTACAATGCACATTAAAGTGATGATCTCTATGGAATAGTCTGTTTTAAAAATACCGTTATGAAGTGTATGTTACTAAGGAAGATTATTATGATGGCTGTATGCCAAAGTATGTTGGACACTTTATTTATTAGCTGTGCTTGTGCAAAAAAATAAAATGTAGATGAATGTTTATTTTCTATTTTATTTTTAATCTCATATAGCCAATGGTGAACTGTGAGCAGCGAAATATAGAAAAAATCTTATTAATAAATCTTGAAGTTCGTATAAAAATATCCTTCTGTTACATTCTCTCAATTGGTTTATAGAAAACCTTCCTTTTTGGATCCACTCGTTACTATTGTGTCATTCGCTCGGAAGCACTATTTTATATTATTTACCTCTGAGCTGTTCATCTACTGGATTAGGTATTTAATATTATTGTGGCAGGTTCGATCTCAATTCTGTAGCGATATCGTCCATATTTACATCATTAGAAGTTACCTTTTTGTCATTGGTATTATCCGTGAACTTTCTACCTGTATATTTTGCAAAACCTTTCTGTCTACTATTATTGAATGCGAAAGTCTGTTTATTAATGCCTGATGATACAGTAGGACAGTCCACCTCCATTGTAGCTCCATGTTCTTTCCTTTTGTTCTCTTTGGGATTTCTTCTTGTTTTCTGCTTTTGCTTCTGCTCAAACCGGAAATCTTTTGGTATTTTGTGAATTTTTACGCAGTGTTCCATTCGGTCCTCGGCGTTCTTGAACTTCTCTTTGCATTCCTCAATGTAGCAGCAATACTGGGAACAAGAATGTTGTTTTTTTTTATTATATTAAGTTTGGTAGTACAGTAGAACGCCGATTAACCGAATCGCCAATTATCCTAATCGGTCCTAAGCATAAATAAAAAATTAAAACCAAGTTTTTTTTGGTGTCACAAGTTAAACTCGCTGGAGTCCACACATATTTTAACTATTAGGCAGACGACGTGGCGGGGTGGGCTTTTTATCCGCGAAGCAATAAAAACCGCGTCTGCCCGTCGATGTCTGCGGCTGCCCTCGCCGCGTACACAAAGCACACGACGGGCAGAGGCAGTCAGTTCAGGACGTTCGTTCTAGTGAATAGTCCATCACTAAAAAGCGCGTGGCGTGGACTGAGCTGACCGCCCCGCGCCGCCTTCCGTCTGCGTTACTGCATATAAACTGGTTTGTATGATCCCCGCCGGGCACCAGCGGCGCGGTCTTTTTGCCCTCTGTGTGCGTTTGTAGTACTTATAGGATTCACTTTGTGCTATCGTTCGCGGCGAAATTGGCCCGCTCCGCCCCGCCCCGCAAAGCGCCTTATGGTTGAAAGCTAGAGGCGAGACATTACATGTTTTGCGTCGCGCGGTTTTTTTTACTACTATGTAAATCTATTATTGTATTTAGTATTGTAGAACCGTGTTTGTTAAACCTAATAAGGTTAATTCTATGTGTAACAGTTTTTCTTTATTACCAGTCTATGTCTATGTTATTACCCGAGTCGACCCCGGCCCCAATTAATTCGGATAATCGGCTATAAGTTTTACTCTGCTTTTTGAAGTAAAGAGGGCGCCTTGCGTAAAGATGCAGATAGAAAATCGCTTAGAAAACTGAAAGCCACTCATGTACTTTTGTCAGAGTTATTAGATGAAACTTCTGGCAGAAAAGGCTTTTAAGACGACGCCCATGAAAATACAGTCATAAACGTTCTGGAACCATAACCGCGAAAATACTGGAGACAGACCGTGAATGATCGCGATAAAGGTCGAGTGGTGCGGGTCACTCTAATATCACAATCATCATCATCATCAGCCTATTAAAGTTACCGCTGCTGGGGCACAGGCCTTCCCTATGGATGGAATAGGGAGATTGGGCCATGACCCACCACGCGGGCCCAGTATGGATTGGCGGGTGCTAACGACTGCAGATGCAGCCGGGACCAACGGCTAAACGTACCTTCCGAAGCACGAAATAACTCGAGATAGAAGATTTTTGGTCACCCTTGCAATGACCGACCACTGCGAAAGATGCTTAACTTCAACGCTCGCAACCGAACGCGCTTACCACCCGCGCCATAGAGCTCCTCAAATATCATAATATATCCCGACACGTAACATTACCATGGACCCTCAATTAGATGAAAATTCTGGCAGAAAAGGCTTTTAATATGACTCTCATGAAAACACTATGGACCACCCTCATACAGGCAACGTGATTTCTCGGTCTATCTAGTAGTTTTTTGAAAAGGTTTATTTTAAGATTTAACTCCATATGGCAGCTATGAAATTAGTGCAAGTTGCCGCGCGGTAAGATAATTAGTTTAGAAAGTAGAATCCTGCGCCTATAGATGCGATCGTCGCTAACTTCACAACCGCCATGAAGTTTGAATTGCACGAACAGCTAGTGGGAAAGTATTCGTATCGCCATCGTCAAAGTTGCTATGGAAGAAATTAGTTTGTTCTTACGTCCAGTAGGGGGCGTGACTTAGTTTCCATAGAAACACAATGGCGATATGAATACGATACTTAACCTCAGTATTCGATTCGATTAGTTGAACTGGATCCCGATACGCGTCAAATGTCAAACAGTTATGAAAGGAAGTGGCGTTTTTCATATTTCCAAACAAAACTTCTACGTAAGGAAAAACTGACTCCTTTTATACAAAATTTGACGATTGCGGTACGATTACTGAGACACAAGCACACATTTTTGACGGCTCCGTAACGTATCGCATCGTCAATGTTTCAATGAAAACTTACCAGCGCCCTTACCGGACGTAAAAACAAACTGGCTCCTTCCATACCAAATTTGATGATGACGATACGATTACGGATCTGTCAAAGTTCGTGCTTAGGCCTATGATCGGTGCAGGGCCGGATTTAGAAATAGGTCCCCCCCCTATTTTAAAATCTGGCACCCCAGGCCCACTTACGATTGTCGGTGACCTATCGATTTAGTTACTTTTTATCTCTTGTGAGGGCCCCGGTGCTGTGTTTTAAATCAGGCCCTGCCCACGTGTCAAGGGCGGATCCAGGGGGGTGTCATGGGGGTCATGACCCCCCCCTGGGCTGAGTCCATCTGTACCCACTTTACAATCTGTACTTCATAATCTGTACCCACTGTGACTTGACCACGACTATATGACCCCCCCTGGCGCCAAAGCTGGATCCGCCCTTGCCACGTGTACGAGTTCGACTCTCATTTGACCGCTATTTTGAATTAAACTTACAGAAGGTTTCCTCTCCGCCATCACCGCGAAGAACGAGTCATGAGTCTCTTGTATGTGCAAGTCGAGAAGGTGCGGCGAAGGCAGCACTTTCTTGCACTGACCACACGTGTAGCGGTGGCAGCCATTGTAATGGTTCTCGAACTCTAGTAACGTCTCCGCTGTGAAACTGCAGCCTGGCACGTTGCACTCAGTTTTTATACTGAAACCATCATCATCGTTAACCTATGAACGTGCCCACTGCTGGGGCATTGGCGCCTATATATAGCATAGCGACCGACGTCGTCAACGTGGAACGGTGCGGTAAACACTGGGTAAACACGACACGGTGCGTTGAAATAACATGCAAACCTGGAGGCCTACTCTTATTCAACGAATAACGAAATTTCGATCGAAACTTGGCACTTTTCTTACTATGTTTCTAATTATAATAATATTCGTCGTTAGAATATTGATTGAGGTGTAGATTTTCTAAACCTACTCAAAGAAAGCTTCAATTTGATAGTTTATCGTTTAAATTAAGTGACGAAATTACGTTTGGACTTCTTTATCGAAAGTTCGTTTCTGAGGAAGAGAGTTGACCCCCTGGTCGTAAATTTGGATAAGCACAACGGTTATAAGTGCTGGAGTACGAACGCCTAATAGTTTAGATTCTGCTGTTAAGGAGGCCAAATTCATAAAGAATATTTTTTACAAGTTGAAGTTTGGTGTCAACTTACAAGAAACAATAACTATTTTTAACGACAATCAGAGCACACACAATATGGTTAACAATGAATCGTTCAAAAGAACGAAACACATAGACGTACTGTATCATTTTATTTGTGAATTTGTAAATGAAGGTATCATTGATATAGGGTATAAGCCTTCATCAGCTGAGTTAGCCGCGGATTTACTTACCAAGGCGCTTAGTAAGCAAAAACATCAATTGCTAACCAAATTATTAAATGTTTTTTGATTGTTTCTTATATTTTGTGAATGTTAGCTGTTAATGTTAAATTCTATGTTTTAGTTGGCTGTTACTTTTATTGTATGCTTTCCAATTACAGAGCATAAATGCGACTCAGTGCCGCACAATGCCCAATTATGCTGATGCTTAATTGGAACGTGAATTAGTTTTCAAATGCACCAGCAGAGTGCGCTAAGTTCAGTGTTGAAAAAAAAAGTCAATGTTTGTACCTTCATCCATACTTACATTTATTTTTTAACAGTTTGAATGAACTTTGATTATTTAAAAAAAACTATTTAATGAAACGAAAGCTTTAATAATTTTTCAACAATAAATAATATTACTAACGATAACATATAAATAAAACATTTCGATCAATGCCAACTTAAAGAAAAAACACTTGTTAATTTTCTGTCTCTTAATCAAAATCGTTTATTCGGTTTAGCCTGTTACAAGCACTCATTAATGTGTAGAAGCTACGCCATCGAAGTTGGTACGATTGCACGCATCACACGAAAGCATCACTTTTGAAAGTGCTCAATTGTGCGAAGCGTTGCTGTAGTTGGAACACTCAACGTTAAGCATTATGCCGCATAATGCGCTATAACGCTGTAATTGGAAAGCAACCATTAATACCTACACAAAGGGGCAGTGTTAGTAGGTTGTATAGGCAGTTTGCAATTTGTCTTTGATTTTAATTTGTTTTGTCTTTTTTCTATGACTTTGTCATTCTGTTTGAAATAAACTGAATTGAAAGTTTTCTGAGACTAAAGAATATATTATTATTTATTATATCAGTAACTAAATTCTGTGGAGCCGTAGAATTTACTTTGGGGCTATTTATTTATTTATTACGTAAAGCGATTTAGGGGGAGAGGGATTGACCATGTCTTATTTTTTCTTACAGGGTGTGAGGATGTCTTAATAGTTCTCTCGTAACATCACAAAAATTATTATACTTTGAAAAAGTAGTTTATTACTACCAAAATAATAAAAATTACTAACTAGCACCTTTGTAGGTACAAATAAATATTACTAAAAATTGGTACTTTCAAAATAAACTTTAGGATAAATCAAACGTAGGTACTACCTACGGGTAGGGCCCTATGTATTCATTTAATCTTTAAGATTCTTACGTAATAAATATAAAACAGGGGGACTATTCTTAGACGACCTCCGTGGCCGAGTGGTTTGTACGCCGGGTTTCATAGTGTCGCCGACTTGAGAGGTCCCGGGTTCAAATCCCGGTGGAGGCAGATGTTTGTGTGATGAATACGAGCATTTGTACTCCAGTCATGGATGTTTAATATGTATTTCTATAAAAAAAAACTTATATATGTACAGTATATGTATTCTGTTACCCTAGTATCCCATAACACAAGCCTTATATAGTTCTTACTTTGGGGCTAGGCTAATTGGTGTGAGTGTTGGAAATATCCTTTTTTTTTCTTTGAGGGGGAAGGTGTGAAAACCTAGCGAAAATAGTCTTACGCAATAAATGAATGGCCCCTTTCCTGTCGGAAACACACCACCACCAAAAGATTGTGTTATTTCACTGTGGTCCTCTGTAAAGTGGAGAAATTCTTCGGATGAAAATCCGACAACATCTGGCTGTCGCTAAACTTAGCGTTATAAAATTATCATTATTGTTATGTAATAGTGAACATGAGTCGACTAATTCTAATCGGTTATGATAATAATCGTAGTCAGATATTATAAGTTGACTCAAGGTTGACTCATTATTACGCTGCTGGCTAAATAAGGTCCAGACACAGTCTAACTAACCTATTACCTACATATCTGCTATCTTATCAAAACAAACCAGACTTGTTTTTCGCGTGTACTCGCATGACATCCGGATATCATAAAATTTATTAAGTCTACTCAAAATGTTCATTCGCAATTCATTATTATAGTAGATAGCGACCATAACTGTCATATAATTATGAGATAATTGAATCCAATATATGTAAGTACTTTAGCCCCTATGCTGGTATTATTTAAATAAACAACACCCATTATCAATGTTATGTTATAAAGATACTCGAAAAAGAGATTTGTGCAAAGTCATTATAGTGACATCAGTTACCTAAATCCAATAGAAGTTGTTCAAATTTTATATAATTGGTCCATGGTTTACTTATCGTAAAATTAGGATAAATAATAAAATTACTAGCACCTTTGTAGGTAAAAATAAATATTCCTAAAAATTGACACTTAAAATAAACATTAGAACAAATCAAACGCGTAGACAGGCATTAATTTCCTTAAGATTCTAACGTAATAAATATGAAACAGTGGGGGGGGGGGGGGGGGGGGGGGCAAACGGCCACTGTTTTGTAGAATAACCAACGACTATTCTTATTTTTTTTCTTACGAGGAGGGAGTGCTAATATAAACTCGCCACAGACCTCGTCGCCTTACCAAGCAGCGGGTTATGACCAAGGGCGGATCCAGCTTTGACGCCAGGGGGGGTCATATAGTCGTGGTATATTAAATATTGAAAATACTTAAATAAAATCCCCCTGGGTTTAGTCCATCTGTACCCAGCCCAGGGGGGGGGGGGGGTCATGACCCCCATGACCCCCCCTGGATCCGCCCTTGGTTATGACGCATTGATCTCCGGGTAAAAAAAATGAAAGGGTAGTACGTACAGGTCGCGGCACGTAACTCTAGCGCTGAACAAAACGCGGAAGGGATAGCTGCACATAAGTACGACTGGAGAGGCAATCGGCGCAACGCACGCCCACCCGCGCGCCTCGTTTCCCCCTAAGACATCTTAATTTTTACTTCTGCGCAATAACGGTTAGTGCTAGTTTCGTGCCGCGACTTATACCTTCTATAAATTCTTACACATTATGGCACAAGTTCTCGTCATCCAAATCGAACACTCCGAGCCGAGGTGGAGGGTTGTCGTTTTTGAACAGCTCGTCATCCAGCTTCCGGCGACCAACTCCACACGATCTTAGCTTTTCCAACATCATAATCTTAATATAGTCCAACTGAAAAGAAGTGTAAATCAACCATTGTCTCAAGCTATGTAATTTTGTCTTGCCACTGGTGTCGATTGTGGCATTTTTCTTAAAACTTAAATTTGATAACAGTGTATCCTTGTCTTTCTCTATACAGAATGAAAAGGAGGGACTGATGTTAAATGTAGTCTTTACTATAGAGAATCATGACAGAGTCGGCACCACTGTCTGTTTAAGTCACTTTCAAAATGTTATTTTGTCTTGAGGAGCTCCATGGCGAAGTGGATAGAGCAACTTTCTTAGTGGTCGGTCATTAGATGAGTGACCAAAAAATAATATTTCGAGCTCTTTCGTGCTTCTAAAGGAACGTTAACTCAATGGTCCCGACTGCATAATTATGTCATCGTTATCACCCACCAATTCGCACTAGGCCCGCCTGGTAGCTCATGGTCTAATCTCCCTATTCTATCCATAAGGAGGGCTAGTGGGGACATTAATATGCTGATGATGATGGCTGTCTGTTTATGAATATAGCTTGCTATTAATTTTTCAATTGATCCAGACTGGAACGAACCTAAACCTCAGAGACCAACGACGATCTACACTTAGGGTTGCCAACCCTACTAGTATCCTACTATATTATGAGGTCAAATACTATATTTCAAAATATATATACTTATATAGTAGGCGATAACTAAGTACTATATTTTGCTTAAAGCAGACTTTTGCCAGTAAAAGTTTTTTTTAAAAATGAAAACTGAATTATTGAGGTAAAGAGCTGCAAAAATATACTCATTTCCAAAATAAAGTAAATATAAAGAAAGTTTTACTAGAAAAAAATCCACGCGGACCAGGCAGCGGACGGGACTCGAACCCGCACCCTTCGCAATCCGGGCGAATGCACTGACCAATTAAGCTAACACGGCCCTTATGCCGCGTCGAAATTTTTCTAGCCTTAAGCTGCAAGGCAGCGCCATCTCTTCGCATTGTAGGTAACCCACAATGTCAAATGAATACTTTTTCAAGTTTAATTAAACATTTGAAAGAAGATATAACAATTATAGGTAGTTAATAATAACCCTTTTTTTTCTAGTAAAACTTTTCTTTAGATTTAAACATCTAGCAGTTAAATGCTTAAAAAATAAATAAAAATAAAGTAAATATTTTAACCACTTATTATATTTTTCGCCATCTACTATATTTCTAGGGGTTCTAGCTTCGAAACTTACACCTTGGTCGCTTTGCAGCTATAATGCAATTCAACTAAGAATAGGACCGACTGGGCGCCATATTTTGACGTCATAGCTGTCAATTCAAACCAAATAGGTAGAGTGAGCAAAAAATGTTGCTATTTAATAAAACTTATTTACTAAGATTAAGTGCGACAAAAAATTAGATTTTTAAATAAAATTACCTTACTAAGGTTGAGAAAGAACACAACCGATTTTTAATAGTATTTTTTAATTAAGACTGTGTGAAAAAAAAACATTAATCACAATCTAGCTCTTCAATTTCGCTCATCTCTGCATTACCGCCGGAGAAGTTATGAATAATCATGCAGGTCACATACGAACATGCATCCTATATGTAAACTAAAGTTTCAAAAACTCGGTTTTGAACGCAACATAAAGTGACATTTGGTTGACGATTTGGGTTATCAACCATTCATAGCCAAAGCTCAATAAATGAATAAAAAAACAACCAATATTAATTATCAATATTTGTTAATGTTTGTTTACTAATGTTTGGTTTTTATTCTAGAATTAACCGAGTGCTGAAAAAAGGTTTCCAAGATTTTTTTGCAAGCTGTACTTTTCAAGCGACATTTGACAGATGGAGGTCATTGGCTTTCCTATTCTTATTTGAATCGCATAGTAGCTACATTTCACCTCTAGGGGAGCGCAACTGCCCCCCTTTGGCGACGCCCTTGCCTATATCTTATTCATAAGTAGGTACATATTATTTTTGTGAAATCTATAGTTAACTATTATTTGTATGATAGTGCATATAGTGCAAACTCAAGTTTCTTTATTAATTTTACATAAATATGGTAAGTATTAAATATTTAATTTGTTACGGCTACTACTTATAATAGCTAAGCAAAAAATACCTACAACACATAAACGTCATATAACTCATACCATATTCAGATGATGTAAGTGCTTGAGATTCAAAATCTGCCGAGTAATCAATATGACCATGGCCTTTCATGGTCAAAGTTCTTTTGTACCCAGGTAGGTACGTATAATTTGCTTCGACGGACAGTAGATACAATATAGATACCTATACATAGACAACTAACTTCGTATAGCTAACAAGTTTTTATCGGATAAAAAAGTTTATCGTTTATGAATGAAGGTTTCTTGCCTTAACGTTATGTTAGTACTGTCTTTAGTGTTGATAGCGAGGTCGCGACTCACGCCACAGTAGTAAATTGTTATCGTGATTCGTGTCCCGCGCTCTGGCCCGTTACATCAATAAGTTATTTGTCTGTGGTAATAGCTGATTGTAGATCAAAGTGTGCAAACGCTCAATATACAAATAAAACGTAATTCAGTGGAATAAATGGGTGTTATTTATTTTTAAGGACAGTTTTGATCAGAATAAAAAATATTTTTAAGTTTCAAGTTTACGTGGTTGTGCTAAAGTTTGAGTAACTCTGTCAGGTGAAAAGAGTATAAAAGTTTTCCTTAACAAATAAACTTTAACGATGCAGGAGCTCCGTAAAAGAAAGGTACCTTTATTTAACTAATGAATTTTAAGAATGATATTTACTAGCTACACAATGTACCTACTTAGAGCTTGCTGAATGTCAGGAATTAAATCTTTTGTTTACTTCCTGCTTATTGTAAGGTTATGTAGCTATTATTTAAAGTTATTTATAATATTAAGTCAAGAGATAAAATACAAAAGCTAATTTATAAATTATTCGGGTAAAATAGAAAAACAATTACTTACCTAAACTATTAGATGAAAATTCAATATTTAAAAAAGGATTAAAGTCGATTCCAAATTCCGGATCTAAACTTTTAAAGATACGTATTCATTTTAAAAGCTAAGCGTTATAATTACAAACAGCCAAGCCTCTAGTATTTTTTTTACCATTGTTATACATTTACATTTTTGTAAACTTGAAGCTCACTTAATAATTTTTATTACTTTCAGTATTAATGTGTCGGCATAGAATTTTCAGTGAGTTTCCTTAGTAATTAATTTGTCAAGTTCACACCTACTTTATGTATCTAATCAACTAGAATCTAGTAACTAGATGCTACATTATTCGATTCTAGTCATTAACAGATGCTATCTGAAAATTATATTTTTCTACATTTTCTTTCTTTCGGTAACAATAAAAGAAATTATCATTGCTATAAAAACAATGTGCCTAAATGGACCGACTATATGGACCATCTATCATTTGACCCTTCGATTTAGGTCTGCTACAATTTTTATGTCATTTAATTTTTATTTTTTTCAAAATCTTGGGGTTTGCGATTTGATCTGGGAAAAATCGTACTCTATTGATACGATTCAAAATTGATGGATCGTATTGCCGTGAATCGATCTTCTATCAGATTGTTTGATATTGGGCATCTCTATAATCTATGTAATCTGTGCTACTGTCACTTCCTTTTGTCAGCTGCTGTCAGACAGCTGTCTGTCTTGTGATCAAAAATCTAAATTTCAGCGTAATTTTCGAATATTTTAATAATTTCTATATATTTATTTATTATTAAAATAAAGAAGTGTCAATGTGAATTGACATAGAAAACTTTATAGTTATTAGACTACTTATAAAACTAGTATCTTATGTTATTTGTTTACATTAAAAGAACGAAATGTTTTTTGTCATTTTTGTTAAATAAACAATCAATAGTATTTTATGGTTGTGATGTTAATGTTAGTTTATCATGGGAAAGTTCAGTACTTACAGGTATTTAGAGGTAAGTTTACAGTGCAATTAAAATATTTTACCCCTGTGTCTACGAATTTTTATAACCAAGAAAGTGCGCTTTCTCGGTTTTCTCTCTTGGTTTTCTTTAGTCAACAATGTTGAATTGTTTTTTTAGTCTTCTTTTATTGTAGTGGATATACTGGCGACGGAATTTGCCTCATACACATGGCTTCGCGAGCTGCCATTAAACTAATTTCATTCCATTGCTGGTATTTTATTTTCATACAGACTGGCACTTTTTTACTTTGGCAAGAAGTTGTTAGAATGTTGTGTTTTCCAAAAAACGTTTCTGAAACTTATGATTTATCTAAAATCACCTTTTCAGTAAATTTCATTAAAATTCACCGAAATAGTGTATTTCAATACTTACTAATTTTCGTTATCAAATTAATTTGCATTGTAGGTGTTCATATTAATTTTATGAAACATAAAAGTAATATGTTGTTAATTGGATTTTCTCCTGAATATCTATACTAATAGATATTACTTTACTAGTTTAATATTATAAAGAGATTAAGTTTGTGAAGCTGTAGGGGTAATTTAGGGGGCTACTGAATCAATTTTAAAATTCTTTTACCAATAGAAAATTTTACCAATAGTCATAGGCTCATATACATTAACCTTAAAAATGAAAAGATTTTTTTTTGGCAGTCAGAGAGTTTGCAAAGTAAGTTGGAGAAAAAGTGGTCTGATGTAAATGTTTCTTTCAAACGCTGCCTTAAGAATGAGAGATATGTGATTGAGTTCTGGAGAAATTTTGTAGACTTGATAATGCCTACAAAAAAGTCAAGACATTTATTGGTCATATTTCAGCAATTCTGAATTCTTACCAAATAAGTAAAGGACTTGGATAAGAAACTGCCCTTAATATGTATGTAATGTTTGATTTTTGTAAATGAACAAAATAAAACTTCACAGATTTCCTGTCAGGTCCATGACAACAAATTATTTCTATTTATTTTTGCTTTAAAAAAACTTTTTGTGAAGTGTTAATCAGAGAAATGGAAGGAAATATTCTAAGAAAATGCTAAAGGCTCTGTAAATAAGTAGCAACATTTTTTATCAAATGTAGGAAGGTAATGAAATATTAGGAGTTCTCACAATTTTCAAGATTGGGACTTTATCAAAAGTTCCTGATCCTCTTTTCACAGAAATTATAAATATTCAGCCATTCAGCATTAAATATTACTAAGAACAATATTTATACATTGCTAGTTAAGTCGCTCTTACAGAAAGTTACCATGTCCTTTGTTGTTTCAAATGTTTCAAACACTTGAGTCAATAAAAGTACACCAAAGAGAAGCGAGGGTGGGCCACTAGTAATTTAAAAATCTTATACTGAAAATGGAGCTAGTGAATATTTTTTATGCTATTATTTTATATTATGTTTATAAGTAATGTACACTTCTGGACACATATATTGACTATCACACTACGAAAAATATATCTTAGGTTGAGCAATAACAATATGTTTTTTAAACACACAAAAAAGAAGAAATCAAGTTCTAAACCGCATAATAACTTTTTCCTCAATATAACATTTATTAAATAAAACTAGTTTTTACGGGTTAATGCACGAAACTTTATTTATTTATTGACGTTTCGCAGCCTTTTCAGGTCTGCATCGTCAGAATAATGATTTTTTATTTAAAATTGTTGAGCTACCTTCGAAAGACTTATATTGAGCGTTCGGTTATTTCATTGGAAGATTTTTAAAATTTTATTGTCTATGTATGAATTTATTATTTAATTTACTTAATAAAGTATTTTATTTAAAATTCTTGTTTGTAATTTTGAGTTTATTTATTTATTTGACCCTAACTACCGTAAACTACCACCGGTTCCAAAATTGGGAGACCTTCCTGAGAAGAACCGGCGAAACAAACTCAAGAGAGGCTTTCTATCTCCTTCTTATGTTAAATTATGCAAACAAAAAGAACTAATAGTATCTGATGGTCTTGCAGTGTGTGCTCGGGGTTGGGATTTTATCTCCTGTATAATAGGTTCCCAAGCTGGTGGTATATACCAACCATCTTCCCTATTGAAATTTGGATATTTTTTAATCTCAATAGCCTCGCGCATCATTCGAGGAACGAACCGCCGCTCAGCTGCAAGGATCTGTAGTCTATCAAATCTAATGTAGTGGTTTGGTCCCCCTAATGCATGTTCACACACTGCAGATTTATTTTCGCGCCTATGTTTCATATCTGCGATATGTTCTTTTACCCGAGTCCCTATACTCCTCTTTGTTTGCCCGATGTAGGAGAGCCCACAGTCGCATTCAAGTTTGTAGACACCAGCAACTTGAAAGGGTATATTGCACTTGACCGGTCGTAGGAACTGGTTGATCTTCTTTGGCGGCTTGAAGTATGTATTGATTGAAGCACGCTTCAGAATCCTCCCAATCTTGTCAGTGACTCCTTTCATGTAAGGTAGTATAGCAGGTTGTCGGTCGACTGTGCTAGGTTTGACGCGACTGTGACGGCGGCGTGGTACATTCAGGTTATTATCCTTCAGTACTTGCTCGACATGCTGAAGTTCAGCTGCCAGGTGTTGTTCGTCACAGACACCCCGTGCTCTCTGAAACAAAGAGTTTCCTACGGCAGTTAATTGTTTCGGGTGATGGTGTGAGTCACCATTGAGGTACCTATGGTACCTAACCTAACCTAACCTAACCTAACATAGGCGCGAAAATAAATCTGCAGTGTGTGAACATGCATTAGGGGGACCAAACCACTACATTAGATTTGATAGACCACAGATCCTTGCAGCTGAGCGGCGGTTCGTTCCTCGAATGATGCGCGAGGCTATTGAGATTAAAAAATATCCAAATTTCAATAGGGAAGATGGTTGGTATATACCACCAGCTTGGGAACCTATTATACAGGAGATAAAATCCCAACCCCGAGCACACACTGCAAGACCATCAGATACTATTAGTTCTTTTTGTTTGCATAATTTAACATAAGAAGGAGATAGAAAGCCTCTCTTGAGTTTGTTTCGCCGGTTCTTCTCAGGAAGGTCTCCCAATTTTGGAACCGGTGGTAGTTTACGGTAGTTAGGGTCAAATAAATAAATAAACTCAAAATTACAAACAAGAATTTTAAATAAAATACTTTATTAAGTAAATTAAATAATAAATTCATACATAGACAATAAAATTTTAAAAATCTTCCAATGAAATAACCGAACGCTCAATATAAGTCTTTCGAAGGTAGCTCGACAATTTTAAATAAAAAATCATTATTCTGACGATGCAGACCTGGAGCTCTATTTTTGAATCACTCGTCTGACATAGTATCGTCGAATGCGACATAAGTCACCTTCGACTTTCAAGTCGCATAATACAGATTTTTCTTATTTTTGAATCATTCGTCACCGGTGTTACCGGTTTAATACGAAATATAAAATTATACTCAGTTCACACAGAAAAAATAAAAACCGGCAATTACCGCAATGAAAACCGAACAAAAAATTCTAGTTGTCGTTTCATATAAATCATGACAATGATAGTTTATCGTCGTCTAATAGCACAAAACAATTTGACAATTATTCTATCATTCGCCTCCACCATTCGCCAAGCAGCGAGTGGTCTCACCCATTCGTTGCACTTGAGCGATTCAAAAATACGGAATTAATTATGTCGAATGAAATTTAGTAGAAATCGAGCGTTCGACGCAAGACGAGTGATTCAAAAATAGAGCTCCTGAAAAGGCTGCGAAACGTCAATAAATAAATAAAGTTTCGTGCATTAACCCGTAAAAACTAGTTTTATTTAATGAGTGATGTGCGTGAAAACGTAAGAAACAAATAACATTTATTTTTAAATGTTACTCTAATATTGCTATGTGTGTTGATTATTTGCCCGGAAGTATATTTATGTATAATAAGTAATTTCTAGATTTACTATTGGAATAATTCAATGTCTTTTTCTTTTCAGTTAAAAGATGATAGTCCAACTCCACATATCAATGTGAGAAGCAGAACCATTAAACAGCCGAGGCGTTTGAAGAAAATATTTATTTTGCTTGTAATAGCAGTATTATTCGTGACTTACTTCTTGGGTAAGTAGTTCATTTCTTACATGAAAAAATTAACATGATTTTATTATGGTGTTTTTTAATGTTTTTAACGTTCTGTACCTAAAAAGGAAAAAAACGGAACTGTTATAGAATCACTTTGTTGGCTGTCTATCAAGACCCTTTATCTCGGAAAAGCGAGTGTGGTGGTGGAAGTTTAAATTTTAACATTATATAGTGTGACAAGCATCTTTATAAATGTGGCGAAAATTGAAACTAACGCAACTTTTTTGGAAACGTCATATTATATATGTCATTTACGTAGACAGAGGCGCCCTCCCAGTAACCCTTAGTACGAGTTTTACAATTACGAAAACTATGCTAGTTTTCGTGAGCTCAAACTCGTACTAAGGGTACTGGACTGTCGCTCACATTCATAAAGATCCTTGTCGCCCTGTACTCATGTTTACGGTCCCTTGAAGCTGTGAAAAAATCGAACTTCTAAGTTAACGTAGAAAAACCATACAACGGTTTCTGTGGCGTACCTACAAATTTGTACGGAACCCTCGTTGGCCGAGTCCGACTCGCTCTTGTCCGGTTTTGATGCTCTTGGTCGCAGATAACCTTTTCAGCGTCACTGAGTTAGGTTAGGTTAGTCTCTAGTGGTACTGTGCTTCTTACCGTTTCATACATTCATCGAGTATCTCTTTGTATTGATACTGGTCCATGTTACCTTGTATAATCCTAGTAGGTCCCACGCCATATCCAGAAAAGCAACTCGAAATCTAAACGGGTGCACGCTTCACGGTCTTTTTCGTGTATTTAAGATCGAATACCTTATTCACAGGGCGGCGTACGTAAAGCTTGCCGTAAGAGCATACTCTATTTATCTTGGTTTCGTCGGAAATAAGTACAATTTTCCACTGATGTTCTGTCTAATCTTGATACTTTCTTGCAAATCCTAGTCAAGCTTCTCTATGGTATGGTGTCAACATGGGTAATTTCCTTGTTACTCGCCAACAACTGTGCCTCTACTTGCCGTCTTCGAACTGTACGCGCAGAGATTGCGCTAGGATTATTCTCACCAAAAACTTTATTTTTAATTTCGTTTGAGCCTTTAAGCCGGTCCTGCTTAGCAAAGCCAACTATTCTTAAATCCTCTCGTGGATATGTGTTTCTTGCTTTGGGTTATCGGTGGACATTCGAGGTTGTCTGTTCTTTTTGAGTAATGCAAGTGACCAGTAATTTTTTTATACGATCAATTACTAACACGCAGCTTTATTATTATTTCTCTAGTCGTAGAGTCGCCAGATTTATTTTTTCTCATTTTAATAAAAAAAAGAATTGCGGGATACTTATAGGTATTCTAACAATAACGGCGCGAACCTGCAATAAAAAACTAGTAATGACAGCTTAGAGGGTATTCTCAGGGTTGTTTTGTCTACGTCACAAAAAAGGGCTAAACGGAGGAGCACATGTGGCCCTTAATAAATTAACTGTGTGCTCAATTCCATTCAAATCCCGTGAGTCGTTTGCTTGTTTGAGTAATAAAAACATTACAATGTTTTTTGTTCTTTAATTTGTATTGGAGTCATATTTTAATCATTGCGGCTAAAGAAAATGCGTTGCAATCATATTTTGTGTTCAATCAAACAAAAAGTTGGGTTTAGAGTTCCGTACCCAAAGTTGAGATATATTTTTAAATTGATTCTTATATTTTTACAAATTTAACTTTCTTTCAACGTATTGTGATCAGTGGGTATCTGGAAAGATGCAAAACCTCAAGATTTATGTAAAGAAATTGTGACGCGCTTCATATTTACGTAAAAAGGATTATAAGGTGAAGGATAAGTGTCAAAAATCTACAGTCCGTACTGTACGTACGTTTCTCACCCATGTTTTTTACAAATAAATATTATTATTATGATGTTATATTACTAAGCTTCTGCTGAGCTGTATCTCATATAAGGACCAGAACCAGAACACGAAGTGTTGCAGTTTTCACATAATATACCCAGGACAGGGCTATATAAGGACAAGCTTATCCTGTTTTTAATCAACTGATCTATAAATACACTATATGTGTCTCTCTCTTACTCTTCAAAGTTTATTGCAAAAGCGACACTCAGGATAGTTAATTAAGGTTGTTGTTACTACAATAGAAGCTCATTAAAGCTAGAATTGTTAAGGTAGTTGTACACAACAAAAATTTGACTTTAGTTTAAATCGAATATTCAAAAAGCTTTTTCAGATTAAAAGTCGAGCAGATCTGCTGAGTTTTTTATTGCCTGACTGTTTTGCATATTTTATATGTTTTGCATATTTAAAGTTTTTTTTGTTGTTATACGCTTTTTTAAATGTATGGGTAAAAAATGTTAAACTCGCGTCAGGTTAAACACGTGGGCTGATCGCACCATGACACACAATAAAATTGGAAAGGTTGTTGACTTTCAATATATTGGACGAAACATAGTAATATTTTATTTTACCGTATTATAATAATAAGTCTCTATCTAGGACGTCCACGTGGCAGCTTTATTGCGAAGAAAATGCATTTTTTTACAATAGATGTCGCTAGGTGCGCTTTAATGTGATTTATGTAAGTTGATTTATTTACAATAGATGTCGCTAAGTGCGCTTAAACGTGATTCATGTAAGTTGATTTTTCTGAGAGATAAACTTTTTTAATGTAATATATATATATTGTCATGTTTGTGTACGATAGCGCAATAAATAAATATTGTATTCTAACACATACATGATAGTACTTTTATACTGATAATTAAAGCAATTCGTGCAAAATTATTCCCTAATCATTCCAAAATATCAAAAATGCACATCGTAAATATTCAAGTTTTCACTTCTGCCAGCACTCCCGGAGTGCAACCCGTCGTTTTTTTTTAAAGATAAAAGGGTGGCAAACAAGCGTAAGGCCCTCCTCATGGTAAGCGGCCACCATGGAATATAGACCCTTGCGATACCACAAATATCATCACCTACAATCCCCTATCCCGTCGAGCCCTGGAACCTCACTCACTGACAGAAACAAAACGCTACCAAAGGGCAGTGTTATTTTACTGTGGTCATAAGTAAGGTGGAAGTTACTTCCTTAGACGGACGCTCCAGTTTGAGCGGGAAATCAGCCTACCGTACTCCTAAATATTTAAAGTTATGATAACTTCAAATATTGCCAATTCAAATTCAACCAAATTGTTGGAACATCGTCTTAAATCTATATGACGACCTCCGTGGCCGAGTGGTTTGTACGCCGGGTTTCATGGTGTCGCCGATTCGAGAGGTCCCGGGTTCGAATCCCGGTGGGGGCAACTGTTTGTGTGATGAATACGAGCATTTGTACTCCAGGCATATATGTTTAATATGTATTTCTATATTAATATACTTATATATGTACTGTATATGTATTCTATCCGTTACGCTAGCATCCCATAACACAAGCCTTACAGTGCTTACTTTAGGGCTAGGCTAATTGGTGTTGTTCACCAAAACCTAAAAAAAAATGTATTTAATTAATTGAGAACTTCGGAGATTTTGTGTGGTTTCGTTTGAAATTCGTGATTTCTCGAAAACCGGAAGTGCTACGTTACTCAAATCCGGTTTGTAGTCTTATCAGACTATTCTTAACTTATAACTTAATTATTCTCTTTATCTATCTCTTACGGTTTGGCCGCTGAAACAGCACCACAGACGGACGGACGGACTTGTCTAATAGATAAGAGATTCCTAATAAATCTTTGTTTACGCGTGTGCTTAGTTGAACTATCATGTTTATTATGTAGCCACACATTTTAAAACAACATTACGAGAGAATAGGACAGTGTTGTGTTATCATTGTGTTGTTGCATCGTGTCCGCTGTGCTTTACACTCGGAAACAAACAGTAGAGGGGGTATCGAATGAAAGATCTTTGTGCCTGTGGTCCTGTGGTGAAGTGATCGAGTCATTGTGCTTTCAGTGTTTGTTCGTTCTGAAAATGAATAACGGAACAGTGATTTTGCGTACGCTACCCGTACTCATAACAGGTATTTGTTAAAATTAATTATTTACGGTTGCTAAAAGATATAACACACATTTTTTTGGTATTGATTATGACTTTTTCTTCATTAAGATAAAGCCGACAAATATTTATTTCTATTGTTTCATGGCTGATTTCTTACTTTCTAAGCGTATTTATTTTTAACCTTTATAACTTCTTCAGTCATTGCTATTCATGCGAAGAACCCTTTCCGCCTTATTACAAAACGTTGACTAAAGTTAAACCTGGTTTAAAACTGATGCTGTCAATTTTGTTCGCTAAAAAGAAGACAGAGACAGCGTTAGGGTTAAAACATGACTTATCTTAAGTCCGCGTTTTGGAATTAGGCGGTTTAGGTTTTATTCGTCTAAAGACTATGTTTTGAATGTTAAGAATGGAGCGATAACTGTTTTAGCGAGACAAGATTTTTGCATTGATCGAGTGTCGTAATCTTAACTTGTTGTATAAATATCGCCAGCATTGCTTATGCACACAAAAAATGTTGCAAAATAATTGAAATCGACACAAGAATTGAGATTGAAACGCTGCAATTTCATATTTTCATAATTTTCAAGTTCATTAACTATACTAACTAATCAATCATTTTTTTCAATCTGCGGACGTTTTATATACTTGAATGTTTTTGCGCTATATGGTATTGAGTAGGGTTTTTTAATTTAGTTAAAAAAATTGTCTTTGTTACACTCGGATGATAGATTGATAGCGTAGTAAGAACTGTATTTTCTGTTGTTAGGTATATGTTGATAATTTTTTCTATATGGAGTGTTCAACTAAATATCTTGAACAACCTATCTGTTTAATAAATAGAATAATTAAAAAATATTTAAGGATATTATTATGAAATTACACGATTGTGCTGGTTCTTATTCTTGTTTACTACCCAGTAGCGAAAACCAAGCTCAATGCTCTAGTCCTCTAGGGCTATTATAATAGGCATTGTAGTGTTTGTTTTTAAACAGAGCGTGACACTGACACACGTAGGACAGCTGTTT